ATTGGATATGCTGATTTGAATTGAATGTGCATGTAAGGGTTGTCATTAGCTTCCTCATGGACATACCTATGATTTAAAGGAAACATACTTAATGGGATTACTGTTTCATTTTAATTTCAAGGGGGAGACTTCCCATGCGGAGAGCAGTGAGCTAAATCCCATTCGTGTTCTTCCTGCCTGCGGAAGGTACGTGCAGGGAAAGCCAGATATTCAGCCTGGGTTTCTCTTTCTGCAGATGGACACAGGGTGAGGGGTCCTAGTCAGAGGTTCAGGCAGGTCCCCTGGGTCTGCGTTAGCAGATTCAGATCCCAGGGACTGGATGTAGACCCTCAGCAAACCACTCAGCTTCCCCGTGATCTCTCAGTGACCTGCACATGGCTCTGATACACCTCCCCAGCTGATGTTAGAAATGCTCTGAGGGAGTCTAAGGGTTACTTTACTCCCGAAAGAATTTCATATAGGGTCTGAAGGGCTCTGGGAAACCTCTTTGAGAAAGATCTGCCATTTCTATTCTAGATTCTTCTAGAGATTGCTGTGCCTTTTCCTCCCTGGGCGTTAGAAGCAGAGGATGTAGAACCATTAGCAGTGTTGGTAACCCTGTAAAATGATACTGCAAGAAAGGATGTTCATGAGGAGGACAGCAAAAGTGGCACCTCATCGTGTGCATCTCACCTTTTTTAGGCTGGTGTGATTGTAGAATAACCCAGTTTTAATTCAGCTGAATTAGAAAAAGTAAATCCTTTTTGCAAACAGTATTTGGCAGAGGCACACATAGGAAGTCTGGACTGGTATGGATTTATCTTGTCCTGTCTTTAGCATTGCTGAGTGTCTTGTGTGTGGCAACTTCCTCTATTACCAGGTCTTGGTTGGAAAGACCCCACAGACCCATGGACAGAAAGAGGTCCGGCCTCATTCAGAAACCTGCTGCCAGTCACAGTTTTTCTACTAGATTTCCAGTACTGAAGCAAGAAATCCATGCTGGAGCTTTATGGGAAGCTTGAATGGGAAGAGCTGCAGGCATCAATGGCAAAAAGGTGGCAAATCTGCAGAGATGCACCTTGGTAGGGAAGGCTGCTCTGTGTTGTCTTTGGTTTCTGTTTCAGGCAGTAGATAGAGTAACGCTCCAGTGCACATTCCCAGAGCTGATGCAGTTCCATTTTACACAAATGCAATGTTATTTGATAGTATTCACCCTGAAGGGCTAGAAATCCTACCATGAAAGGAGCAGTCCTAAGGCTCCAGGCTTCACTGGGCTTTTCACTTTGCCACTGTTAGGTACAAAGACAAACATACTCAGCCAGTGCATTGCATGTCCTGACCTAGGGCATCATTTCAGGATCCCATCCATTGTCTCCATGGGAGGCAGTCCTCAGCAAGGTGCTCAGGGATCCATCTCCCATCATGTACCTGCACATGTTAGGAGAAGCTGCAGCTCTTGAGGAGTTAATGGGTCGCTTTGCATCTAGGATCTGGGATGGGGAATCAGTCCCTTCATGCATGGGCTTATTCAGCCGTTCTTCTGGCAGCAGGCATTTCATCATGAGTCAGACTCATTGAAACACTCAGAATGAAAACAGACAGGTAATTTAATCATGGGAGGTTTCTACAAAGAGATTCAATGCTTCCTAATGGGAGCCCGCTGGGAGAAACTGGAAGGGAATCCAGATGTATCTTACCTCTGGCATAGGCTGGGCAAAATGCCTGACAGAAACTTTAGTACAATGGGTGAGTTAGAGCTTCCTGTCATGTTGGATCCTTGAATGGCTTATACATGGGTGCTACACTGCAATGTAGATGTGACACAATGTGGTATTTTGCTACTTTCTTAAGGTAAAGCAGAGCTGATGCCTACAGTCTGTGCTGTGGGGGAATTAGACATATAAATCTGCACGGTGCCTTTGCAGAGAGGCTGCAGCTCCTGGACTTGGGCAGCGTTCTGCTCCATCACGTGGGGTGTTTCACTGGCCAGGGATGCTGTTTGGATCTGCAGATGATGTCATTGGGCACTTTTTGAGCTGTATTTGCAAACATCTATCAATAGCGATTGAGGAAAGTGCTTTATTCTTCACTATGAAGGTGCTGAGGTGCTGGCACAGGGTGCCCAGAGAAGCTGTGGCTGCCCCCTCCCTGGCAGTGTTCAAGGCCAGGCTGAACAGGGCTTGGAGCAACCTGCTCTAGTGGAAGGTGCCCCTGCCTGTGGCAGGAGGTTGAAACTGGATGAACTTTAAGGTCCCTTCCAACTCAAACCTGTCTGTGATCTTTCCCAAATGACTTCTTCATGTCCGAGTGTGTGAGCCTGTGACCTGTCCTCCAGGTCTACTGTCTCTCAGGTGGCTGAGCATCTCTGATCCTGGATACCTCTGGTATCCATTGCACCCATGTGCTTCTCCCCATACATGCCTGCTCCCTGTTTCACTGTGCTCTCACCCATTCCGACCTGCATCCCTTCCCTCTGTGTCTTTCTCCTAAACACTTCCATGCTCTTTGATCATGTTGTCAGGAAAGAAAACCTGGTAGTGTTAGTGAACATAAAGAACCACAACAACCAGTGGCTCAGCCCCCTTCTGCTCTTCTGCTCTCTTGCATCACTGGTGCCTGGAGCCTGGGCTCAGGGATGAAGCAGACCTGCAGCGTTGGGACTGTGCCCCTGTTCTGCTGCTGGGTCAGTAAATGTTTGGCACTGGTAGGGCACCTGAAAGTTAGGCAGAGGAATTATTTGTCTCCCCAAACGTCAGCAAGAAGCTTCCTGCTGTGGAGATGATCCTTTTCTTCTTCCGCATTCACAGGAATCATCGTTCTTCCCTGACATCATCATTTGTTGTCATGGAAACCAAGCCCTCAGGAAGAGAGGCAGGGGAGCATCCTGGTGTCTGTGGGTGCATCTCAGGCACTGTGCTCTGAGTACCCGGCTGGGTACAAGGCGCACCATGGTGTGCAGGACAGGAGAGCAGCGGGCTCTGCTCTCCTCTTGTCCTGCAGTCTCTGAGCAGCATGGAGCCATCTCAGCTTGACAGGCTCAGTGAGAGACCCCAGGCTGCTCCTTCTGCCTATGGGGGAGGCAGGAGTGTGCAGACAACACCCAGCACCCTGTGCAGGGCTCTAGGTGGGTCCCAAGACCACCATACCAGGCACAGCTGCAGACTGGAGGAGCCATCATAGACGTGGTGCTGTCTCCAGCACAGACCCGCAATTCCTAATTGGAATTGGCCTGCACAAGGCTTGTCCAATGGTATCTCTCTTTATTAGCCCTGTCTGACCTCATTACTAGAAAGAAGCTCAATTTAACGAGCTGCTGGTGCCCCAAGGGAACTCTGAAAAACAGTTGTTTCTCACAAAGGCGACTGATCCTTCATGTCCAGTGTTTCCATTCCCGTTTGGCCATTAATCAGGTGCTTGTGTAGAAGCAGCTATGTGTCACTGACAGCTCAGTGTCCTGGCTATTAATTCCCCAGGGATTTTGCAGCCTTGTCCCTATGTCCATGGCACAGGCTGGCATGGAGATGGCAGCAGTTCATGCATGGGCAGTGGCTCCGGAGGCGGCACGGGTCGCTTGGGTTTGCATCACACAGCAAGGCACTGATCTCAAACTGGTGTCAACCTGCCTCTAGTTCATGAAGGCAGTGAAATATCCTAATTAGAACAATGCAACTAAAGCAGGATTTGACCTTCTGCCTTTTTCTTTGGGATTTTCCGTTCTGAAAGTTCAGGGCTTGTGAGCCAGGCTTGGGCTGCCTGCTTAATCCTACCAGAGACAGCCTGCATCTGGCTGTGGGTGTTAAATCAGATTCACGCCTGATGTTCTTGTGTATCACTAAGAACTTGGAAGGCAAGGAGAAAAAGAAATCCAGAAAATACATGTTTGTGTATGCAACATGTCTTTACATGGTAGGAGGCATCAAGGCTCTTTCCAAGAAGGAGGATTTATTCGGAGCAGGGTGCAGGGGAGCGCATCTCTGATCTATGAGTGTGAAGATACCCTTGTATTTCCAGCTGGGGTGACACATTTCTCAGATAAATCTTAAGATAATTAACAACCTGTTTCTTACCTCCTGGGGACATGAAGCAGGAAAATAGATGTCCCTCTCTGCTGCTCTGTTCTGCCTCTTGTGAAGGCTCAGGCTTGTCCAAAGCTGGTTCTTGGTGCCTCTTCCTCTGTACTGCAGCCAGGTAGTGAGTAATTGAGCAACAAAAGGGGATGAGGCAACATAGCTCAGCATGATGCTGCAGCAGATGGCATGGAATCCTAGAATGGTTTGGGTTGGAAGGGACTTTGAGCTCATCCATTTCCAACCCCCTGCCGTGGACAGAGACACCTTCCACTAGACCAGGTTGCCTAGCCTTGGTTCACCCAACTGCTCTCACCTCCATGCCTGATGGCTGCCACTGTTTTCAGCTATGTAGACACCGTGTTGCAATCAAATAGTTTTACAAATATGCAAATCCTGGTAGGAAAGACAATGTAAATGGTTTGTTTATCCTCCTCCCTTCCCCTTTGCACAGCCCCCAAGGCCATAAATAATTAACTTTTGGGAGAGATGGCATATCCTCAACAGCAGCCACTCCTCGCAGGGATGGAATTCGTCACAGCTTGGCCAGGTTTTCCTGCAGGACTAGGGTTGTCTTCTGCTTGGGCGAATGGTTACTGGGAGTCCTGGCTGGGCTGGTTTCACCTTGCTGAATCCTGCAAATACGGAAGTAATGGGACAGCAGCAGCATCTCCCAAGGTTTAGGTGGAGATGGTGTTGTAGGAGGCTTCTGTGGCAGCGAGAGGTAATGGAGATTGAATCTCGTTCTTTGTGAATTCACCAACTGCAGTGGATAAAGGAGCCTTTGCTTTACCTGAGTTCACACGTTGCTTGCCAGCTCTTTGCTCTGTCTCCAGGTTGCGTGCTGAGATTTTGTATTAGATGCCCTTTCCTACCTCATCCTCCTCCCCTCCAAAGTAACATCAGAATTTGGCTGCTATGAAATCACCTGTAATCTCTCTGTGCTTCTTCCAGATCCGAGCAGATGGTCCTCCCCATGGTGGAATTCAGTATGAGATGGTGACAGTTTTCAAGGATGGGAGCCCAGTCCTTCGAGACATGGCCTTCTCCATCGATCAGAAGTATCTGTACGTCATGTCAGAGCGACAGGTAAGGTGTCTGCTTCCATACCTCCATGCTTGCGGCTTCCTTCTGTAAGGAGTGTGTTGTTGGAGCACAGAGAGCTGAGGTTGTGAGTTGAGCCGTGTGGTGCCGGGATCAGTACAGATAGATAGAACACCAGCAGAAGCTCAGTTTTATCTGCCTTTGACCAGAGATCATCATCAGTGCACAGGGGAGGGAGTTGTGCCCATGTATTCTTGTCTGCAGGTGATGGCAGAGCTGAGCTGCTGTGGTTTGGGGCTCTGAACCATCCCTGCCTAGAAAACAAGATCCTGAGCCTCAGGCATTACGGATTCACTCCCTGCAGCGAGGCTGGCAGGCTGGGGGTTTGCATTGCTTTGTCATAGCATCCTTTATGATGGCTTTATCTATTTCTTTATTTGCCAGTGTCTTTTAAGTGGCTGTGAGTGTTTGATGCTTGTGCACAGGGGTGGGACCAAGCGTGGTGTGGACATATGAGGTCTGCAAGCAATGCTAACACTGAGTCTGTGCTATGATAGCCATTACTGTGTTGGTTCTGGTGGTACCTACTCTGGATCAAAAAAGCACAACCCAAATGAGTATGATGGGAATTAATGGCCAATGGTCCACAAGGGTCTGCTTGGGAGCCAGCAGGATGTACATAAGCTGGGACCTTCAGTTCTTCTCTGAGACAAGAAAACACATGAAGTCCCCACCATTAAGCCAGACTTCTGGGTTCACTGAGTGTTGAGCTTTTTACTGGCTATTACTCACGACTGTGTAATTCAGATTAATAGAGCTGGTGCCTTGTGGGTGGTGGAGGCAGGAGAAGGGTTGCATCTGAGGGTGTCTGGATGCTATTAAATTGTTCTGTGTTGATTTAACCCTCTGGTCACTAACGGCTTTCCATGTCTGCTGGTAAACAACTCTCTGTCCTCCCTCCCACCTGCTCCCAGAGGGATGGGTTGGAGAGGTATCAGTGGGAAGTGCTTAAAGATCTGCTGATGGAGATAGATAGCAAGCAGCTACCGTAACAGCTCGCTTTGCGCTAGGGAGCTTACAGCTCCTCCCAAAGCCAGCAAAGCTGTTTTGATAACCTGCAGCAAAACGAAAAAGTTGGCAAATACTTAATTTGGTTATAAAGATATTTAAAGCCAGGGAAAAAACTCTTCAGAAGAGTGCAAAGTCTTCTGCCTGCTGAAGGACTGAAATTGAATGAATACCTCTGGTTAAAGAAGGCAGCATATGCTTTTTAGAGCAACTTGGTGATAGACACTTCTGTGAACAGCCTCAAATTTAGGATCCCATTCCAGCTTGGACTTGGATTAGATGGTAATAATGAGGATCTATGCAAACTTCAAAATGGAAATAGAATGTTAATGCTGTGGTCATCTTCTCTAGGATCCATGTGCTCCTCGTGCTCTCAGCGGGGAGGAAAGAATCCAGTGTATATCTCAAACAGTTGAGGAACTGTTTTCATTAGGAGGAAAATCCAGTGGGAATGCCTCCAACTCCTCTTTTATGAGGCGCGAGCATCTTCATATTCATCAAAGTGCTAATTTGCTTAATTGTGAAACAAAAAGATGTGAAGGGAATTAGCAAATAATAGAATATTCCTGGAATATGAATTCCATTTCTAACCACAGCTCTGACAAAGCACTCGCCTTGGGGGAGACTCCAGGAGCAGGGGGACACCATCCCTCATTCCTTGCAGGAATCACTGTGGGATTTGCCTTTTGCCCTTGTAGAGATGCGTGCTTTGGGTCCAGAAGTTCCGGCATGCCATTACATATGGATTTCATCAGCTCCTGTGACCCCTCTGCCCTAATCCTGGCAATGCGATAGTTCAGCAAAGTGAAGGGCAGAATATATTTTCCCTGCAGTGCTATATAAAGGAGCCTGATGATTGAAAAGGGGTCAGAACCGAAAGGTCCACGAGCTTCACACGGCTGGTGGGGAATGGTGGGAAGTGCCCTTCAGAAGTACTGAGAATATACAGTAAAAATGTTCTGAAGCCTTGAAATCTGGAGCAAAATGCAGTTCTGCCACAGTAAAATGACAGAGAGCAGCTGTGCTTAACATTGATGTGCTGCGTGCTAATGTACCAGGGGAGGATTGTCCAGAGCCTGAGATGTGAAATATCTACCTAGAAAGAAGCAGGATGTATACCTCTGTCAGAACACAGCTTCCAAAACCTGAGGGGTTTTATGGTGGGATTCAGCCAAGGAATGTGTGCTCCCAATGCTGATGGGGAGCAGGTCTTTTGGTATTAGGTACAGACCCATGATGAGATGCGATGCTCTGTGTTGATTATTCTGAATAAACTGGGATGCGTGGATGCTTCCTACACAGAGTAGAAGCGACGTTTTGGTCTGAAGCCCATCTTCCTTCTGTGCTAGCAGCAGCCAGGATCAGCTTTATGCTGAAATGCGTTTAGGAAAGGAGTAGCTTCATCCTAAAATCTGGAGTTGTGCTTGTAGGCGAGTCCTTCCCCCCTCTCCCTGGCTCCCATCCCAGCCCTGTCTGTGTCTTACTCCAGTTTATCCGCAGTCCTTTTGAGCTCTCCATGAGGCTTTCATGTTTCATTGCCAACTTCTTCCAAAGCAGAACATCTGACATTTGATTTCACTCCCACAAAGCACAGAAGCAACAGTTCCACAGCCCAGTCCGGGGGAGAGAAGGATAAAGAAACTTTGCTTCCAGCCACTTATTCCGAGTTCTTTAACCACATGATTTAAGAGGCTTATTAGGAGCTATACAGGCTCTTCCTGCTGCACCTGATTTCAGATAGCTCTTACAGCAAAAGAGGAACAATTCTCCCAGCAATAGGTCAAGGATAACTTTAAAACTGACAGAGGGGAGATTGAGATGAGCTCTTAGGCACAAGTTCTTCCCTGTGAGGGTGCTGAGGTGCTGGCACAGGGTGCCCAGAGAAGCTGTGGCTGCCCCATCCCTGGCAGTGTTCAAGGCCAGGTTGGACACAGGGTCTTAGAGCAACCTGCTCTAGTGGAAGGTGTCCCTGCCCATGGCAGGGGTTTGGAACTGGATGAGCTTTAAGCTCCCTTTCAACCCAAACCCGATCATGTATGATTCTGTGATTTTATGATTCTGATCCTATTTGAAGCAGAAATTCATTCCTCAGCATTGCTCTACCAAGCCAATACTGTTTCTGCCCACAAGCTGAGCAAGGCTTGGATAGCGCCTTGGATGCAGCTGAGATGGAGACATGTTGCCTTAGCGGAGCTACACGGGGTGCAAAACCAGTGACTAATATCCTGCTGCCACCAACATCCCCCCCCGCCCCAGATTAAGAATCTTCCCATTCTAATGCTGCATGTGTCACAGAGCACACATCAACAACCCCCCCACCCCTGCAGAAAACCTTCTCCGATGGCTTGCTTTCAGAGAGGAAGACTGTGAGACGAAAAAGTGGCATTATAATTCAATCCTGAAGCATTAATTGTCTGTGCGTCAGGGAGATGGCAGGATTTTTAATGTGGGAAAGCTCAGTGCATTTCAATTAAATCAGCCTTGTAGGATGAGAGCAGTTTTACGGCGCCAAAGCTACGACTCCTTTCCAGGCACCGTGTCTGCTCCCTGTGCAAGTTCAAGCTGTTGCAGCGCTGGTTTTGCACGCAGCAGGTTTGACTTTGCTCCCACGTACACCTTCAGCGTCGCGAGCTAACCCTGTGAGAGGAGGTGGGCATACTTCATCACAGAGATTTATATAATCTCGTCATCATCATCTTGGCATCAGCAGAATTGGGGCCAAAGATTTTTGCAGCTCTTGATAGAAGAACAAATTTTGTTATTTTTAATGTGGGAGCGAGCGGAGGCTCCATCAAACACATGGCAGGGCAGGAATTGCATCTCCAGAAGATTTCACCACCTAATCAAGGGCTCTGAGCATGAGATTTAAACCAGCGTGATCAAAATCCTTGCAGGGCTTGTTCGAAGAAATCCTGTGCTAGTGATGGGAAACATGGCCCAAGAGAATCATAGAATCACGGAGTGGTTTGTGTTGGAAGCAACCTTAAAGCTCATCCAGTTCCAACCCTCTTGTGTGGAGACACCTTCCACTGGAGCAGGTTGCTCCAAAGCCCCTGTGTCCAACCTGGCCTTGAACACTGCCAGGGATGGGGCAGCCACAGCTTCTCTGGGCACCCTGTGCCAGCGCCTCAGCACCCTCACGGGGAAGAACTTCTGCCTAAGATCCCATCTCAGTCTCATCTCTGTCGGGTTAAAGCCATTCCCCTTGTCTTGTTCCTACAGGCCCTTGTCCAAAGCCCCTCTCCAGAAGACTTCCTAAATGCAGAGCTGTCAGCCCTGATGCAGGGGTGTCTTGCACCTACAGGTTGTGGGTGCAGGAGGTGGCAGTGGGCACAGGCACTCCCCTCCTCTCACTGCCTCTTGCAGACACACCATACTAAGACGTATTTTTGCATCTTTATTTTCCAACACCTCTTTCAGCTAATCACCTACTGCTTTTTTGTTCTAATCACGTACAGCAGGTTGATGAAGGGCTGAGGTCACACACTGCAGGTCTGCTCCCTGATGGGTGAAGCAGCACCTTCCTAATAAGATACCTGGCCAGAATGTTGCAAATGTAAAATTCATCCTCCATAAGCATCCTCCAAAATCCCGGTGCATTTCATTGCCTGCAAAACGCTGCTGCTCTCAGCTCATCCATAGTTACTTCATGGTTAATTCTGCCACAGGGGAATGATTTCATTCTGGTTTTATACAGTACGTATCAGCAGCATCCTGCTCTGTAACTGGGAACCTCATCATTCCCCTTGTAGGAATAATGACATGTAATCACCCATAATGCACATAACAATTAGCACAGCAGAGCTTAGGGGGCCATGGACCTCTGTAGCCTGAACTGGATGAGCTTTAAGGTCCCTTCCAAACCAAACCCTTCTGTGATCAGTCTGGCTACCAGCATGTTGCATGAAGGGCAGAGGGAGCGCTGCTCACTCAGACCTGTTGCTTTTCCCCCGAGTGCAGTTCCCACCTCACTCTTA